GGAACGCTCTTTTAATTTTTACTTTTTAGGTAATTTAAATATTTTTTCCAACTTTTCATATTTTTCTGCACACCTGGGCATTGCCCCATGTGCGCAGGATAATCTCCCTGCCCCCCAGGTGCTCCCGATGGGGGCAGCTTTGCTATTAGATATATCGATAGCACTGTGGGAGTTAGAAAAGAGCATGGAGAAGACTGGCTTATGGCCTTTCTCCCTGGGCTGCCAGTCTTCTGCCGGCAGGAAGTTCATTTTTAAAAAATCAGAGCACACTCAAAATTACGCCGGCCTCTGGCATCTGCCTCCTACCTCCTGCTTTCTTCTGGGTGTCCAGATTAGGCCAAAAGAGAGAGGAGGACAGCTGCTAAAGGGCCCCCAAAGTCTCCTCTTCAGTTCCCGCGATGGGAACAGCCAACCTGTGGCCCCTGTTTGGAGGACAAAGATTCTGAGCCTCCTGTAGACCACAAGGGATCATTTGTGATTTTCCCACAAAAAATCCCAAGCTGGTGGGACAGCCCCCACAAGGTGGCCCGCTATGTTCTCACGGCCTGCAGCGCAGAGAGGCTTTCTTGGCGGATCTCGGAGGTGGCAACAGGGTGAGGCCGCCTGGGAGCAGAATCCTTGGGTTTTATAAATTGTCAGTCATAATGCTAAAACAGAGAGGTGCAAGCGTGGTTACAGTGTCAGACTAGGATCTGGGAAACCCAGGTTCGAAACCCCACTCTGCCATGGAGGCGTGCCGGGTGCCCTTGGGCCAGTCACACATGCTCAGCCTAACGTACCTCACAGGGGTGTTGTTGTGAAGATAAAATGAAGGAGAGGCGAGTGATGTAAGCAGCGACGTGTCCCCACTGGGAGTGAAAGGCAGGGCATAAATAATAAACTAAATAACAATAAAAGAAAATGTCCTCTTCTTGATTTTCAAGCCTTGAGGGACTACAAGGCAACCACATCATTGAACGTCTTCTCCCGCATGCTCCCTCCTCCCCCATTCTATGTTCTGGGGGGGAAATCACTCCGACCCCCAGTGACATGGTAGCAAAAACTTAACAGGTGCCAGAAACAACTCTGAGCTCCTTTTCGGCCACTGCAGCAAATGTGTTGTGACTTGCACTGCAGGCAGCAGTCCTCGGTTGCCCCAGAGGATCAATTAAAAACTAATTTCAGCAAGAGCGTCTTGTGTGGGGCTTTGGGAGCTCTGGGTGGGAGGCATTCAAGAGGAGAAGCAGCAAGGGGGAAAGGGCTCTTTGGCAGCAAGAGGCTGCCGCCGGAAACCATCAGCACAAATCTGTACCTAGAACAGGTGGGGAAGGGGGGAGCAGCGGCAAATGTTCGGCACTCATTTTCAAAGGGTCGGAAAAACACAGAAACGGAGCATGGGCTCCTGCACCAGGCTCCTTAAGCAGTACACAGGAGACCCTGCTGCCCCACCTTGCAGAAGGAACTCGTGCCAAGCAGCCCCTTCCCCACCTGCACGGAGGAAACAGGACAGGGCGGGCCCTGCTGTGCCCACAGACTCATCACACTTACGGGGTTCTGGTGGGGCAGGACTATGGGAGGAGAATGTTCTACACACTCCCCCCATTTAGGAACAACTAATTCCTCCTTGTAGCGGGTCTCTAAGGCCACTTCCCTGCCGTGGTCCATGCACACTGCCAGAAGAGGCAGGAACTGGGAGATACAAACCCTGGGGTGGTGGGATGTCCCTACAGCATTGCAAAATGCAGGAGGGAGAGCAACATTCTATAATGCGCCCCAATGTAAAAGAGCAACACTAGCACAGTAGCAAACGGAATGAGAACCTTGTCCCCCTGATATGCTGGTTTTTCACTTTCAGGGATGGTTCTTCTAAATATGCCTTCCTAGTCAGCATTCTGAAGTTATACCCCACAGCACTAGGATTGCCAACTCCAGGTTGGGGAATTCCTAGAGATTTGGGGAAGGGAGAGACCTCAGCAGGGTACAAGGTCATAGAGTCCACCCTCCAAAGCAGCCATCTTTGCTCTGGAGATGAGCTGAAATTCAGTGAAATATCCAGGCCCCACCTAGAGGATGGCAACCCTACCCACTGCCACCTGCAGCATGAATGTCAGGGAGGGAGGGAATGAATATGAACATAACCACATTGGGAAACTTTTCTCTGCCGACTCATCTTAAGGCAGTTCAGGACCTTCACATGAAATTGAAATTGGAACGTCCAAGGCGCACATGCACATTTCCCACTGCACACGCATTCCTGAATTCAAAAGAGGCTAAAAGTATCAGCACAGTGCTGGCACTCAAGGACGGTTCTAGCCCAGGTCAACAAAAGCAGAGAGCCTGATGTGAGAGAGGCAGAAAGAACAACAATCCTCAAGTGCGCCTGAAACACCACTAAAAAACAGGCATGAAGAGGAACAAAAAGACTAGTGGGATTTTACTCCAACATAAGCTTTTGCAGACTAGAACTCACTTTGTCAGGTGCAGAGCCCATAAACATAAGAGATAAAAGACTGATTCTAAAACGAACCTTTTCTGTTCAGCTCCACATAAACTCCCTAGACATGCAGGAAGCCCCAAACCACATTCTCCTCCTGCATGACAGCAACACACTCCCAAATGAGTGATGGAAAAAGAGATGAATGCCTCCTTGC